CATTACCATCACTCTGGCTGGGACAAAAACACACTGGACGTTCCAAGGAACCTGGCTGCCATGCTTCAGTGTTTCCTTACCAGACATAATGAAGGTACTGCCTATCAATGGCTGTTCTAGAAATGTTAGTGAGCCGTTTGTAGGAGTAGAAATATCGACAAATCATCTATTTAGAACAATGTTCACTTTAGCATTTATATTTGATTTCCCGATAATAATAATGACCTAATTGCAGGTTTAGGTGAAGTGGTGATTCACTGCACCGACGGCCTGAGACGAACCAGCGTAGTGCTGTTGGCATTACTGATGATGGAGTCGATCCTTAGCGAGGGGTGTTTGAGGATCAAGGAGGCGCTCTCGAAAGTGCGGAAATGCCGGCCTGGAATGGTCTCGAAGCAGGAGGACTTCAACCTTGCCCTGGAAATTGTGGACGAGCTTCTGCATGGCACTGCTACTGCCTGCGTGGCCGATGATTTCAACAGGAATTTATCAAAAAAATCACAGGTTGTTTACAAACCCTTGAAATTACTTTCTTTTATGTTATCTACAGTGATACAAGGAACGGTTTTACATTGCCTCCTGTCGGTAGCCAAACTTCGACTTTGTCGTTACAGGCTGTTCCTACTTCCAGAGTTCGCAGGCGCTGTTCAGGAAGGCCCACGTGCTCGAGTCCATCTCGGTATCCGAGGCAGCCCAGCGGTATCCTGCTTGCCTCGCCTTGCACCGATTTCCGAGCATCATCCCGCTGGACACCCGTCGAGTGGTTCTTCAGAGCGAGGATCAGGTCGCCGACGAGAACCTCCATGACGCTGACAGACACAAAGAGGAGCATGATAAAGAAGGTCTCCAACAGGAAAAAGGGGCCGTGTGAGGACAGGCGCCGTCCAAGTGAAAGTTACATCAACGCTGTGTGGGTTGACAGCTACGACCGACGATTTGGCTTTGTGGTGACCGAGCATCCGCTGGCGGACATGCGGGAGCGGTTCTGGCGACTTGTGGTTCAGAACCGCTGTGCAAATGTTGTCTTTTGCAATGATTACTCCAAGGTTGATGTAAGTACTGCAGATAGACATTGTAAGCATTAATACATACATTTTTTTTGTGTGTGTGTGTGATAGACGTATAAGGAATATAATAAAGATATCTTACTTCCTTTTTAGCAAGATTTTCCGAATCTACTGCCAGGATATGGAGGAGAAATTACCTTTGGTAAATACCTGGTACAAGTGTTGGCTGTTCAAGCACCAGCGAAGCATGTTATCAAGTACCAAGTAAATATCACGCCAAGTCAGGTTCGTATACAATCTATATCATTCACACAAGGGACGTCACTCTTCCACATGTACATTCTATCATTCACACAAACATTATATGTATAAGCATGTTTTCATGGACTATATTATTATCACTCTATGCTTATACTTCCTGATTCAAAACAAAGCGCGAATCTTCCTTTTTCAGTCATGGAACGCACCTCTGATGGTAACAGTTTACAAAATTACTGCCTGGCCCTTTGGACAGGAGCTCCCAGATTCCTCGACGGTGGTGGGCGATGTGGCCAACCTGCTCTGTGATGCTCCCTCCATACCCGACGGGGGCCCGACCCTGTTTTGCTGTGGGTGAGATGCCTCTCTCCTTTAGAAAGTCGTGAACATGCTGGGAACTTGTTTTGATAACATAAAGAATTGTTAGTTTCTGACCCAAGATTCTCGTGGGTTTTCTCTCATTCGAACGTATTTAAATTCTACGTATCACCAGCAGAAATACAATTTACAATTTTTCCTCCTTTTATGTTCGATAGTCCTCCCAAGATCCAAGACTGCTCCTGTTTGATCAGAAATTTGTCACTTATAGAAGTTTTCATTTGCTTTCGCGTCCAGAGACGGTGTGACGGCGAGTGGCTTGCTCGCAGGGGCCGTGTGTGTAGTGCAGAGGCTGAGGAACAGCCGAGAGGTCGACATATACCGCACAGTTGTTCAGCTGAAGAGGTGCCGCCATGAATTTATCACTTCCGCGGTGAGTTGGGGTACAGAGAGCTTACCAGATCCTTTCTCTCTGATGGCTGGTCTGAAAGCCCCAATGGTTGGCCTATGTTAGTTTTGGTGATATTTATCTCTACCTATTACACACACCAGAAGAGGGGTTGAAAGCCTACAAATCACTTAATGCTTGCAAGTATATTAAGTTTTAAAACAAAATAGGATAATGGAATTTGGTATTCAACATAAGAAAAAATCAGAATACAGCTATCTGCATTTGCTGAGTCATACTAATTGTTTGGTTGACCGACCTTTACACAAACACCTGGTGTTTACACATAAAGATAATTAAAGGCCTACAAATCTTTAGAAGAGTACAAGTAAGTACTCAATACTACTTACAATAAGACTGGTTCGTAATCGTAGGATTAGATTTTCCTGAACTTGTGAAATTCTTGCTCGCCCTTTGCCTTTTAGTCCTGTTTTTTTCGAAAAGTTGCTCAAAACGGGTTTTATCAATA